CCAAACCGGCGCCCTCGCTTGAGACATCCTCACAAAACCGGCCCCGGGGAGGTGCCCATGGCAGAGGAGCCCAGAGCGGCCTCCGGCACCGTTTCCGGACAGATCCGGTGGATCCGGTGGATCCGCCGACGAATCCCAAACCGGCGCCCTCGCTTGAGACATCCTCACAAAACCGGCCCCGGGGAGGTGCCCAGAGGAGCCCAGAGCGGCCTCCGGCACCGTTTCGGGACAGATCTGGTGGATCCGGTGGATCCGCCGACGATCCCAAACGGCCCCGGACGGACGGTGCCGAGGAGCCCAGAGCGGCCTCCGGCACCGTTTCCGGACAGATCCGCTGGATCCGGTGGATCCGCCGACGAATCCCAATCCGGCGCCCTCGCGTGAGACATCCTCACAAAACCGGCCCCGGGGGAGGTGCCCAGAGGAGCCCAGAGCGGCCTCCGGCACCGTTCCCGGACAGATCCGGACAGATCCGGTGGATCCGCGCCCCGGGGGAGGTGCCCAGAGGAGGAATGAGGAGGAGGAGGAGGAGGAGGAGGAGGAGGAGGAGGAGGAGGAGGAGGAGGAGGAGGAGAAGATGATGGAGCTGCGGGGTGGAGGAGGACAGACGGAGGCAAGAGAAGGATGGAGGAGGAGGAGGAGGAGGAGGAGGAGGAGGAGGAGGAGGAACCTCATCCTCACCCTCGCCAACAAGCGCACGCACCTTCTTCTATATACAGAAACTCCCGATCAACCGCAGAGCGGCCGGCTAGTAAGGACTCCATGCTAAAGGCATCCTGGCGAAGGATATCTTACTAACGTAACCTCTACTACAGAAAAATCATGACAAAGGATTCCTGACTAAAGGATGGGGCCCTCGGTGCCACAAAACGCTGTGCATGTTTGGTTTGTGTTGTTTTGCTTCTCTGAGAAGCACCCAAAAACTGTGTGTCTTCTTGTTTTGATTTCTGCGGGTCCAGTGCTCACCGCGGCCTCTCCCCAGCACCCTTCTCTGAGCCTCCACACCAAAAAAAGTTCCACTGCTTCCCTGATCCAAGCAAGTAATGCTTCGTGGCACCGAGGGCCCGCTCCTTCAAGCAGTCCTTAATTCGCCGGCCCAACGGGCCAGAGGCGTGCTAAGATCCCCGGTAACTACATAACAATATTTCTAGTTCGCGCGCGCGGGGCGGCCCCTGGGGGGCCCCGGACGAAAAGTACCCCGGCCGATCCCCGGCTGACCCCCGGGCGATCCCCAAGGGGGAGGCTATTTTTCGCCACCCCTCATGAGGATCGTGGCCTCCGAGGGGGGGGCTGCCAACGACTACCCCCCCTCCCGCCCCAAGGGCCCCCAAGAGCCCCCCAAGAGGCACCAGGGGAGCCCAATACGCCGCCAAGGAGCCCCAAGACGCTCCCAAAAAGCCCCCAAAAAGCCCCCAAGACGGCCCCAAGAGGCCCCAAATAGCGATCCAGGGCCGGCGGAATGAGCGAAGCGATCCGCCGCCCCACCGGGTACGGCGTGTGGGACGCCCAAGGCACGATCTCCAAGATTCTTTCCCCTCTGTCACCTTGCTCACGCACTTCTCCTTCCCATCCCCTTGCTCAAAGCTCTTGCAACCCCTCCTGGGGTCCTCCCTGGAGCCCGCTCATTCCGCCGGCCCGAGGGCCCTGGCTGCACCCGGGGCGCCCTTTGGCCGCCATTTCCGTCCCAAAACGGCGTCCCTTTCACATGCTACGTTTCTGGGCGCCGCCGGGCCCTCTCAGAGACTTCTCCGGGAGCCCACGAAGCCGGTTCCGGGGGCCTCCTGAGGCCCTCCTAGCCGGATCTTCACCGTCCTTACAGCCACTTTGGGCCGTTCTGGATGCCTCTCCACCTATCTTCGAATCAAATATACCAGAAAACCGCGACAAGCAAAAAACATCGTAAAACACATAGGATTATCACGATTCTAGCCTTCTTCGGCTTCTCCTCGCGCCTCCTTTTCGGACTCCCGTGGATCTCCGCAGGCTGTTGCGGCAATCTTGGAACCTGCGAGTGCTCTCTGCGGTCGTCCTGAAAGCCTCTCGGACCTATCTTGCGCCGTCTGGCACTCTTTTTGGCACCCTCTTGGGCCGTATTGGGCGCGCCCAGAAGGTCCCTGGAGGCCCATTTCAGGCCCCCAAACAAACTGGAAATGCTTTTTCTGGCCTCTCCGTTTCCGTATTCGGTTTCGTTCGCAATTTTTGGCACCTTCGGCTACCCTTTTGGGCTGGTTTCGCAGCCTCCGCAAGCCCTCTGAGCTCAATTTTTCCACTATTTCGGAACTCTATGGCGCTTTGCCCCCCACATCCCACGAAATCCACGATCCAATCTCTCTCTCCCTTTCTCTCAATCTCTCTCTCTCTCCCTCCCTCTCCCTCTTCCTGTACATCTCTCTCCATACCTGTCCATTTTCTAATATGTTTCGGGTCTCTGGCGCTGTCGTGCCCCCCCCCCATCCCACGAAGTCCACGATCCAAAAAGGGTGGGGCGGCGGTGTCTGCCCCCTCAGGGGCGTTCAACTAAATAATGTTCGTTCTGTATCACGGGTTCCTTCAGTAGAGACTCCTTCGTCAAGATGCCTTGGGTATGGGGGTGGCGGTATCGATACCTTTTGGTTTCCCCGACAACAGCGCCAGGGGTCCCGCAGAGCCCTGGCCAGGGGCAGCAGTGGTATATAGGCACGGACGGCCTGCCGTCTGCAATCTTGTTCCACGCGGAGTTCCCGGGTATGCCTTTGCTGAGTCGAGGACCAGGGGAAGGCGGAGGAGGGGAAAGGAGGGGGGTCGACAAGGATGAGGAAGGACTCGGATCCAGAAAAATGGCCCGCACTGGGGCGAGAGCGCCATTCTGATCGATGGGAGCAGGGTCCCGATCCCAAAACTAGGCCCACGTTGCAGCGGGATGGCGAGAACGGTCGGATCGGGAAAACACACCAGATAAACCAACTCGGACCCATCCTGCGTGTAACAGAAACCATGTGCGGAAGGGGAGCGCACGACTCTCAGGACGTCTCCAGGGGGAGACGGAAATTTATCCATATCCACCGCCTGGGAACCGACGTCCAGGTGCCCCGGCTGGCGGTGGATATGAATATATTTTGGCCCCGGGGGCCCGAAAATATCCATATCCACCGCCTGTGGAGGTCCGCGAAGATCGACCCCCCAGGCGGTGGTTATGGATAAACTCCCGCCTCGGATCCAGGGGGGGGGAGGAGAGCGCCGACTATACTCACATGGAGTCATGGTCAAGGCCGCAGACGGGCAGGCGGGGCGCGCGTCCAGGCCCGAGCGGCCTCGTGGCCCCCGTCATAAGCGACCACCCGGGCCTCTCCTGGGGCCCGCCCTGGCCGAGAAGCTACCTGACGAGGCCGAAAAGGCCCAAGAGCCTCCCAAAACCCTCGAACCTCGACCCACGACGACGACGACGACGACGACGACAACGACGACGACGACGACGACGACGACGTCGACGACGACGACGACGACGGCGGCGGCGACGACGGCGGCGGCGGCGGCGGCGGCGGCGGCGGCGGCGGCTTCGCGGACGATTGCTGAGGTCTCAGGCGGCCTCTGGCGGTCAACCGAGGGCCTCTGGAGGGCCTCTGGAGGGCCTCATGGGGCTCTGGAGGCCCAGAAAGGACCAGAACGTCCAAACAGTACTGTATCCTAAGGGCGATATACCTCGAACCTGAAACCTCGACTTTCGACGACGACAACGACCACCACCACAACCACGACCACGACCACGTCGGCGACCCCGCGGGGGCATCGGCCTAGAATGGGCGATTCATCTTTGATAGATGGGCGGTGGGCCCCCGATGGCCTAACCGCACGTTCCTGGGCAAGGAAGAGCACGCAGACCCTGATCGGCGATAAACGGGCAGTTAAGGGTCGAGGCAGACCTCCCCATGCGCCAACCCGCTTAGGCCCCCACTGACGACGACGACGACGACGACGACGACGACGACGACGACGACGACGACGACGACAGCAACGTCGGCGACGACGGCGGCGGCGGCAACAACGACGACGACGACGACGACGACGACGACGACGACGACGACGACGACGACGACGACGACGACGACGGCGACAGCGAGAACAGCGACGGCAACCGCTTCTTCAGTTCTCCGGCGAGAAACCGCTGTCCGGTGCGAGCGCTGGCTGAGGGGGGGTGAGTGGGCGCCCTGAGGGGGGGCGCCAGGACGAGGCTGGCTCCTATGATTCTGTCAGTCGGAAGGCGGAGGAGAATGGGGAGGAGAAACATCCGACAGTCTGGAAGGATCCACTGGCTCCCCCCATCGTCCGACAGCCTGAAAGGATCCTAGAGAAGTTACCTGCGACTTCTCCTGCCTCGGGAAAAAGTCCATGGCGGGTCGAAGGCGTCTCTGCTCCGAGGGATCGAAAGTCCAAAGTCTCACGGGAACGTCCTGCGAGGACCCCCTGTCGGTCGGGAGGCCGATGAGGAAAATCCAGGGTCGATGAGCAATTCCCAAAACAGTGCTTGCACTTGGAGGTTCTTACTTGGGCTACTAAGGAATGGGATAGGTCTGGCGAGGTCTCGCCACGCTTTCGCCTGTTGCCACCGTTTGCCGCTTCGTTGCCGCCTCTAGCTTGCAATACTACACCACACAACTTACGCCACATAGCTGGCACCACATAGCCCGCGCAGCCACAGTGCGATCAATTGCTGTCTGGGGTCCACGCTGGCCAACATGTGCTTGAATGGTTTTTCGCCATTTGGGGGGGTCCTTCGGGGAGGCTGGTTGTCGCGACAACCAAATCTACCTGCAAGTCCCGGCCAGGCGCCTCCTGAGACGTCCAGGGGCCGATTTCGGGGGAGGCGGGGCCCAGACCTCCGACGTCGTGATCTCTTCGATGCCACAATTCTTCCTGTGTGTCGGTCGCCGTGGACCTGTTCTCGGGCACCCCAGACCATGACGATCCGGGACGAACGGCCAGGCTCACTGAACAAAGCAACAGCCAAGAGAATCAACAACAGGTGGAGTATCTACGAGGTCTGGGAGAAGGAGCAGGAGGAAGAAGGGAGGTTCGAGGATGAGGTTCGATCATCGGAGAGAGCGTGATCCACCGCCGCTTTACTGTGGAAAATTGCCGCCTTTTTCCTCCGGAACCCGGAAGTCCCGCCCCCCTCTCCGAAAATCCCCCCCCCCTCTGCTGGACCCCCCCCCCTCCTCTTCCCCCCGCAAACCCCCCCCCTCCCTAACCCCTCCCCCCCCCCTCTGGAAAACCGGAGGGGGGTAACGTGTCACTACCGGTTCGAACCCCCTCCCCCCCTCGAAAACCGGAGGTTCTACCGCTGCTGGCGGAAAACCGGGGGGGTCACTACCGGTTGGACCCCCCCCCCCTCGAAAACCGGAGGGGGGGTCACTACCGGTTCGAACCCCTCCCCACCCCCCCCCTCTCACCGCCAGCAAACGACTCCCGGTCCCTACCACCGTCCTCACCACATCCCCCACTGTTGTTCCCAGCACCACTGTCCTCACCACCACTGTCCCCACTGGTTCCACCACCGCCCCTACTGTCCCCACCAGTGCCACCACCACTGTCGCACTGTCCCCACTGTCCCCACCACTGTTCCCACCACGGCTCCACTCTCCCAACTTTCTCCACGGCCCCAACCACTGCCCGACTATCCCCACTGTCCCCACTGTCCCACTGACTCCTCCTGCTGTCCCTGTCCCACTGAGCTGTCCCACTGTTCCCACCACTGTCCCCACTGTCCCCACCACTGTCCCCACTGTACCTCCGTCCCATTGTCCCACCGCCGTCCTCGCCACCGCCGTCACCACTGTCCCCACCACCACTGTACCCTCCACTGTCCTACTGTTTCCACCACATTCCCACTGTCCCCACACCACTGTCCCCACCACCACCGTCCCCACCACTGTCCCACTGTCCCCACTGTTCCCACCATTGTCCTCACCATTGTCCCCACCACTACCGTCCCCACCACTGTCCCACTGTCCCCACCACTGTCCCGCTGTCCCCCCCTCCGACTGTCCCCACCACCACCGTCCCCACCACTGTCCGCACCCCCCCTCGGTTTTCGAGGGGGGGGGAGGGGGGGTTCGAACCGGTAGTGACCCCCCCCGGTTTTCGAGTTCGAGGGGGGGGGGGGTGCTCGAACCGGTAGTGACCCCCCCCCCTTTTCATGATGAACTGGGGGGGGGGGAGGGGTTCGAACCGGTAGAGACCCCCCCCAGTTTTCCTGAGGGGGGGGGGGAGGGGTTCGAACCGGTAATGACCCCCCCTGGTTTTCTGCCAGCAGCGGTAGAACACGCTCTTTCGATCATCGAGGATCGAAGTGTGGGCGTTTCTGGTAATTGCTGCGCCTCGGGAGACCTCTGGAGAGTGTAATGGAGAAGAGGAGGAGGAGGAGGAGGAGGAAGACGAGGAGGAGGAGTCGACTTTCGGGTCCGAGGCGTGTCGAAGCTAAAACACAGGCGGTTGGTGCCATGCGCATCCTGAAGACTGGAGATCTGCCCGCAGGAATGCACGAAGCTCGAGTGCATGGGCTTTCAGACCGCCGGCTTGCCCAACTGCGAGCGGTTCTTGTACGTGCTGTTTTCGGGGCTTTCCGGAGCAGGTCAATCACGCCCGAAGACCCCCTCCGCCTCCTCCGCCTCCTCCCCCTCCTCTGCTCTCCCTCCGCCCTCCTCTTCCCTCCCTCCCTCCCCCCCTCCTCCTTCCCTCCCTCCCTCCTCCTCTTCCTCCTCCGCCCTCTCCTCCTTTTCTTCTTCCTCCTCCTTCTCCTCCTCCTCCTCCTCCTTCTCCTCCTCCCCTTCCTGGACCCGACGTTCCAGGCCAACCTCATCTCCCTCCCTGAGTCTAGGCCTGGCGTGAATTGTGGTTGCCGGGGCTTCCCAGGTGGTGACTTTCGGGGCTTGCCAGAGGACGAACAGGTTTGACTGGAATCACACCCTGGTGGGGCTGTCTACAGGCTCGACTGGTTCCCACCATCATCCAACAGTCTGGAAGGATCCCAGAGAAATACATTCGACTTCCCCTGCCTCGAGAAGAAGTCACTGAACCCCTGGTCCAGGACGGGTCAAATGCATCTCTCCTACGAGGGCACGAAAGTCTAAAATCGCACCGGAACGTCCTGCGAGGACCCCGTCGGCTGGGGCGTATGATTGATGTTTTCCGTCGGCTCCGCAGTGTTGGTCAGGCGGCAGAGGCTACTTTCTTGGCAGGCAGTCCTTCTGGAGGCTTTCCCGACGCAATGCAGACCAGCACGTGTGCCATAGGACAGTGAGTCAATGCAAATTCTGCGGAGAGATGGACACGCACAAGCATCGTTGTGTGGGCTGCCCAGCGACATGGTCGGTGCGTAGAGAAATCGACTTACCGGAGGCGATTCGGGGCTTCGACTACTCCAGATTTCGTAATAAAAGGGAGGGGGTCTCTTCCAGGCTATCTTGGAGGGCCCGGGGGGGTCTGGGGACGATGTTTTGGAGGGTTCTCCCACGGGGGGGGGTCTGAAATGGCTTGTCTTGGAGGGTCCAGACCCCCTCCCTTTTATTACGAAATCTGGAGTAAGCATCCATATGTGATGTGAGCATTGTTCGCTGTCTGGTCCCCAGCCGGTCGTTTCGAGCCCCGCCCCCCGTCGAGAGGTTCCGCACACTTGCAACGTTTTCCTCCCTCGAGTGGCAGTGTTGCGATTGATGGCTCGGTTTTGCACCCTGGAGATCTCGCGCTGGAGCGTGCCGGTAAGGGGGGGGTCCAGGTGGATCGCCATGGCGTTTTCGTTGGGGCCCTGGATGGGCCCCTTGCCCCACACCGTCCAGCAGCCTGGATGCGCCTAACGTCATGCCCTGCGTATGCTGCTGTCTCACGCGGGAAACGACCCTGTCACGGCTGCCTGTGATAGTAGGAGGGGATTGAATATGCTGAGCTGTGGCGGCAGATTTTCACTGGGGCTGCTGACCTCAGCAGCACGGTCACGGCTGCCGCCTGAGTTTCGGAGCCGCTGGTCCTGGGCCGTGGATGGCTTTCAAGGAACAGCACGGTGGACGGCGGGCCTGGGAGAGGCAACCCGTGCCGAAGAAAAGATTCAAAGCGGACGCATTGCCGACAGACCCCCGATCTCACAACAGCCAACTCTCGGCTGCAGTAAGGCGCACTCGGGCCTCGCGTCCGAATGGCGAGAGGCATCGAAAAAAGGGATGAGACCTGGCCAATGCGTCATGACGTCGAGCGGCTGTAGTGGGGGAGCCGCCGTTAAAGTAGAACTCAGCAGAGGGAAGGGGCCGAAGGACGACAGTAGGGAGGCAACCCATGATGGCAGTCGGCTGACCAGGCTTGAAGCCACCAGCACCCTGTGTCTCCGCAGCTGCTGCTGGAGTCGAAGGTCCAGGATTTCCAGGTCCACGGTCGGGCCTTTTTTTCTGGCGGGGATTGAGGGAGCGCTTCCAAAGACCAAGTTTGGCGGCGCGGCCCGCTTTCTAGCCGAGAGGCTCAAGGCTCCTGAAGGCTTGGAGCTCGTGCCCAATCCTAATGGACACTGTTTCGAGCGAGTGGGCAAGAGGTTCGCTTGCTCTGGACATCGAATTCGTGATTAGCCCAGGTCATCGATCAGCACCTCGAGCTGTACTCGCATCCCTAGACCCGCGCGCTTGGCCGATCGGTGGCACTGTCTCTGGTGCAAATCAAGTGGACGGATTCGGTACAATCTGTGTGGGTCGTTTGGCGCCAACAGAACAACCATGTGGACCGTGACTATCCGCGCGGGCCCAGGGATAAGGATGCGGATTGACCATTGAGCTTGCTGAAAGAGGATTTGGACCCTTACTCTTAAGGTTCGCTCGGGTAATGTTTCCCTCTCTGTCGGGAAGGGCTCGCTCTTGGGTGCCAATTGGGTGCCAATCCGGGCCACGCGTTGCAGCAGCGGGACGTGGTGCGCCAAGGACCCAAGGATACAAGGAGGAGGAGGAGGAGAAGGAGGAGGA